AACTTGTCAACAAGCCATCTCTTTGAATTCTTCAGATGCATAAAGAATAGTTGCGCACACTTCAAATTGTACATAAATGTACAATTTGTTTGTGCATTGAAGAGAAACGTTGGAGGTAGAATTCCTAGAATACAAAGCCAGAGTATGCATGGGGGGGGGGGACATTGCACAAGTAATCCTGGTTCGGCTTCAATGGACGCCTCAAAAATCCTAAAGGATTCAGTTGAATATTACTGATGTTGCAATTCTTATGACCATGTCGTGGTGCAGTTCGCTAAGGTCTGGGAGGACCCAGAGCGTAGGTTCGAATCCTTCTCGTGGCTCCTACTGATTTTTCTCAGTAATTCCTAATATTAATAAAGTAATAAATTCCAAGTATCCAACTAAAGGCATCCCTTCTTGGACTGCTAACTTGTTATACTCTATGGTATAGACCTGCTACTCCATTATACAAGACTTTCATCCTCAAAGTTCATGTTTAGATCTTCACACATATACAGTAGACTGTGACGGTCAACTAAACTAATCGAGTTTAGTAAACTAGTCAAAAAAGGAGGATGTGTCAAGTGACTATTCACTTTATTCATGAAACATGGTACACAAAGAATGGGATCATTACATAGACACACAGTTGAGAAAACATTGGCAACCGCCAGAGCTGTGTGTACAGATTGTGGCAACACGTCCCAGGGTAATGATTTGGGGCCCCATAACCAACAAGTATGAAGAGTATCAGGGGCTTAACAAGGAAACGGTATCATTTTGGCTTGACTTGAGTTTGTATACAAATACACGTGGGAATACAATGATAACAATGACACTTCTCCACACAATGTAAATGATGTTGACGACCTAACTCTCACTGTCGCCCTGTGTATACTGTTGACGACCTGACACACACACTGTCGCCCCGTGTATACTGTTGACGACCTGACACACACACTGTCGCCCCGTGTATACTGTTGACGACCTGACACACACACATTGTCGCCCTGTGTATACTGTTGAAGACCTGACACACACACATTGTCGCCCTGTGTATACTGTTGAAGACCTGACACACACACATTGTCGCCCTGTGTATACTGTTGACGACCTGACACACACACATTGTCGCCCTGTGTATACTGTTGACGACCTGACACACACACATTGTCGCCCTGTGTATACTGTTGAAGACCTGACACACACACATTGTCGCCCTGTGTATACTGTTGACGACCTGACACACACACTGTCGCCCCGTGTATACTGTTGACGACCTGACACACACACACTGTCGCCCTGTGTATACTGTTGAAGACCTGACACACACACATTGTCGCCCTGTGTATACTGTTGACGACCTGACACACACACATTGTCGCCCTGTGTATACTGTTGACGACCTGACACACACACATTGTCGCCCTGTGTATACTGTTGAAGACCTGACACACACATTGTCGCCCTGTGTATACTGTTGACGACCTGACACACACACTGTCGCCCCGTGTATACTGTTGACGACCTGACACACACACTGTCGCCCCGTGTATACTGTTGACGACCTGACACACACACTGTCGCCCCGTGTATACTGTTGACGACCTGACACACACTCTCGCCCCGTGTATACTGTTAACGACCTGACTCACACTGTCGCCGCGTGTATACTGTTGACGACCTGACTTACATTGTCGCCGCGTGTATACTGTTGACGACCTGACACACACTGTCGCCCCGTGTATACTGTTGACGACCTGACACACACTATCGCCCCGTGTATACTGTTGACGACCTGACACACACTGTCGCCCCGTGTATACTGTTGACGACCTGACACACACTGTCGCCCCGTGTATACTGTTGACGACCTGACACACACTGTCGCCCCGTGTATACTGTTGACGACCTGACACACACTGTCGCCCCGTGTATACTGTTGACGACCTGACACACACTGTCGCCCCGTGTATACTGTTGACGACCTGACACACACTGTCGCCCCGTGTATACTGTTGACGACCTGACACACACTGTCGCCCCGTGTATACTGTTGACGACCTGACACACACTGTCGCCCCGTGTATACTGTTGACGACCTGACACACACATTGTCGCCCTGTGTATACTGTTGAAGACCTGACACACACACATTGTCGCCCTGTGTATACTGTTGAAGACCTGACACACACACACTGTCGCCCCGTGTATACTGTTGACGACCTGACACACACTGTCGCCCCGTGTATACTGTTGACGACCTGACACACACACTGTCGCCCCGTGTATACTGTTGACGACCTGACACACACACTGTCGCCCCGTGTATACTGTTGACGACCTGACTCACACTGTCGCCCCGTGTATACTGTTGACGACCTGACACACACACTGTCGCCCCGTGTATACTGTTGACGACCTGACACACACACTGTCGCCCCGTGTATACTGTTGACGACCTGACACACACACTGTCGCCCCGTGTATACTGTTGACGACCTGACACACACACATTGTCGCCCTGTGTATACTGTTGAAGACCTGACACACACACTGTCGCCCTGTGTATACTGTTGAAGACCTGACACACACACATTGTCGCCCTGTGTATACTGTTGACGACCTGACTCACACTGTCGCCCCGTGTATACTGTTGACGACCTGACTCACACTGTCGCCCCGTGTATACTGTTGACGACCTGACACACACTGTCGCCCCGTGTATACTGTTGACGACCTGACTCACACTGTCGCCCCGTGTATACTGTTGACGACCTGACACACTCACACTGTCGCCCCGTGTATACTGTTGACGACCTGACACACACACTGTCGCCCCGTGTATACTGTTGACGACCTGACACACACTGTCGCCCCGTGTATACTGTTGACGACCTGACACACACTGTCGCCCCGTGTATACTGTTGACGACCTGACTCACACTGTCGCCCCGTGTATACTGTTGACGACCTGACACACACTGTCGCCCCGTGTATACTGTTGACGACCTGACTCACACTGTCGCCCCGTGTATACTGTTGACGACCTGACACACACTGTCGCCCCGTGTATACTGTTGACGACCTGACACACACTGTCGCCCCGTGTATACTGTTGACGACCTGAACACTCAACACAGTGTACATCATACTACTCGTGCAGGTCACCACGCCGCCTCTCTACCTCATGCGGCATGTTTACTTTATTTAGAATCTTGATCTAATGTTTGAATTGTATATTATATATATTTTAATGTGAAAAAAGTGTATTCCTTAGATATGAAAAAAATGGTGCTTAATGGAACGCCCCGTGTATACTGACACACACACACTGTCGCCCCGTGTATACTGTTGACGACCTGACACACACTGTCGCCCCGTGTATACTGTTGACGACCTGACACACACTGTCGCCCCGTGTATACTGTTGACGACCTGAACACTCAACACAGTGTACATCATACTACTCGTGCAGGTCACCACGCCGCCTCTCTACCTCATGCGGCATGTTTACTTTATTTAGAATCTTGATCTAATGTTTGAATTGTATATTATATATATTTTAATGTGAAAAAAGTGTATTCCTTAGATATGAAAAAAATGGTGCACTGTCGCCCCGTGTATACTGTTGACGACCTGACACACACACATTGTCGCCCTGTGTATACTGTTGAAGACCTGACACACACACTGTCGCCCTGTGTATACTGTTGAAGACCTGACACACACACATTGTCGCCCTGTGTATACTGTTGACGACCTGACTCACACTGTCGCCCCGTGTATACTGTTGACGACCTGACTCACACTGTCGCCCCGTGTATACTGTTGACGACCTGACACACACTGTCGCCCCGTGTATACTGTTGACGACCTGACTCACACTGTCGCCCCGTGTATACTGTTGACGACCTGACACACACTGTCGCCCCGTGTATACTGTTGACGACCTGACTCACACTGTCGCCCCGTGTATACTGTTGACGACCTGACACACACTGTCGCCCCGTGTATACTGTTGACGACCTGACACACACTGTCGCCCCGTGTATACTGTTGACGACCTGAACACTCAACACAGTGTACATCATACTACTCGTGCAGGTCACCACGCCGCCTCTCTACCTCATGCGGCATGTTTACTTTATTTAGAATCTTGATCTAATGTTTGAATTGTATATTATATATATTTTAATGTGAAAAAAGTGTATTCCTTAGATATGAAAAAAATGGTGCTTAATGGAACAATGACGACACTTCCGTAACGTGTCTAGCCAATGTGGTCAGGGGAGATTATAACTAGCTATGAGTAGTCAAGACGTCATCAGCCAATCAGCGACGAACTCGATGACGTAATGCAAGAGTCCCTTCCATCTGATTGGCTCATAAGAACTCCCTTGATGCCTTGATAGACAGCGGTCGCGCTCAAAGTCTGTTTGATCTCAGCTTGCTACATTGTTGATGGAATACTGGCCCCAGCTTAAAGGACAAGAGTTCAAATTCAAATGTTTATTCAGGTAACAGTACATACATAGAAGATTAGTTACAAACATAACGTTGGATTTCTAGATAGAGCTAGTACATACAATACCTAAAGCCACTAATACACACACAGCGTTTCGGCAACAACCCGAAATGTTCTACAATGTTAGTAAAGTTATGACAATGTTAGTAAAGGAATTATGACTGAATTTACGTGGCTGTGGGGAGACTGAGGGTTCTTGGAAGTGGAGCTACGTTACCACCACCATCACCACCACTACCACCATCACCACCACCACCACCCAGTATGCAGGCCAGACAGACCCGCCACACTCGGCTGTAGGTGGTGATGCCCCCCCCCCCCCTCCCCACCTTACGTCACCTCACGCCACAGTCAAAGGCAGATGTGTTGGCCAGGTATACACAGGTTGTACATCAGTCAGAAGTGTAAGGCAGGTATAACCACACTGTACATGAGGGTCAGCTTGACAAAGAGTAATGTGAACATTGAACTAAGAATATCACTATTGCAGGGAGTGCAGGCCCAGGAGCGGCACCTCTTCCTCTTCACTGACCTCCTCCTCGTAGCTAAGGCCCGGAGTGGAGGCAACTTCAAACTAAAGGAGAAGGTGAGTCGCTGCGCACATACGAGATCTATACATGTATATCTGTAGTTGAATACGTAAACTTTATATTGTATAAATATGTAGCCTAGCAAGTATACTGTGTGGTGGGGTGTATATGGGCGTGAGTAACCAGGTGACGGTGTCCTCAGGTGCGGGTGTCGGAGATGTGGCTGTCCTCCTGCCTCGACGATGTCTCCGAGGTCGCCAAGAGTCATGATACATCCTTCGTCATGGGCTGGCCTACCACCAACGTTGTCGCCTCCTTCAGGTAGGTGTTCCACCCCCCCCCCCCTCTCTGTCTGTCTGTCTGTCTCTCTCTCTCTCTCCTCGGTTGTAAGATTTATTTAAATTTAAAATTATTATGTCTGTAAAATTTCTGTATTGCTTGAACTTGAATACTGTAGTTAATAAATGATACAGTTGTATAGTGTAGTAGGATACTTGTATGGTGTACGAGGTGAACTTGTGGGGTGTGGGCTCGTCTTGATCTCAAGAATTCCTGTTGTTGTTTTATATCTATTATGTAGACATGTTTTTTGTGCTTATATGTCACATGTGAACCCCAGTGCCACATGTGAACCCCAGTGCCACATGTGAACTCTAGTGCCACATGTGAACCCCAGTGCCACATATGAACTACACCTTAAGAGATAAACATGCAGCTCTATTCAGATGTTTAGTGAAATGTTTGCCGAAGATGTTGGCTCTCGCAATCAGACCTGATGTAAGTGCTCCGTGATTGACACGTGTGCGGGTGGGGGGGGGGGGTGTTGACAGCCCCGCCACGCCAGCTGGCCGTAGTTCGTGCACGCAAACTGGTGCCGTGCACAGAGCTGCTTGGCGTCTCTTGGTAAATGCGTGCATCTTTTATCTCACTATGACTGCCCATTATTTTTGCCCTTCCCACCTCCCGATATTTTTTTGCTCTGTCCTCATACCCCAACTCCTTGTCCTCATACCCCAACTCCTTGTCCTCATGTCCCAGCTTCTTGACCTCACAATCCCAGCTCCTTGTCTTCGCAATCCAAGCTGATTGTCCTCACAATCCAAGCTCCTTGTCCTCACAATCCAAGCTCCTTGTCCTCACAATCCAAGCTCCTTGTCCTCACAATCCAAGCTCCTTGTCCTCACAATCCCAGCTCCTTGTCCTCACAATCCCGGCTCCTTGTCCTCACAATCCCAGCTCCTTGTCCTCACAATCCCAGCTCCTTGTCCTCATATCCCTCAGTCTTCTATATAGCCATACTGGCCAATCACTTCTTCCTGAAAATTACCGGTACCGTTATCTTGAGGTTATCTTGAGATGATTTCGGGGCTTTTTTTAGTGTCCCCGCGGCCCGGTCCTCGACCAGGCCTCCACCCCCAGGAAGCAGCCCGTGACACCTGACTAACACCCAGGTACCTATTTTACTGCTAGGTAACAGGGGCATAGGGTGAAAGAAACTGTGCCCATTGTTTCTCGCCGGCGCCTGGGATCGAATCCAGGACCACAAGTCCCGCGTGCTGTCCGCTTGGCCGACCGTGCTGGAATTTTCAATATGAATGTTTGCCAACTGTACGTGAGCAGTGAGGTGTGTACCCTAGAGCTACTGTGCACCGTGCTGTGCGTGTGTGAGGGGTGACCTGCACGGACCTCACCCCACCAGGCGGTGAGGTCAGACCGTGGGGGGGTGGGGGGGGGCTGGCTGACCAGACTTGGAGGGAACAAGAGGGTGGGGGGCGGTTAGGAAGAGAAAATAACGGAAGATTTACGAGGGTAGAAGTAGCCTAAGCTACTCTATCCTTTTGAGATGTACTTCCTTGTCTCAATAAACTTACTTGAAGGAAAGAGTCAACAAAGGGCTGGTGCAGCAAACACGGTAATCAAGGATAATACTTTCCAACGCAGAAATGAAGAAAAAGTGCGTATTGAGAACTATGCCTCTTCAACGTAAGCAGAGCTAACTGCCATTGTTATGGCGTTAAGGTTTCTTGAACGGAACACTAAAGGTGCAGTGATTTGCACCGATTCAAAAGCAGCACTGCAAAGCCTAAGTAAAAATCAGGCAGAAAATCTTGCAATAGTCGCTGAAATTAAGAGAGCTGTGAGAGTACTTACCAATCAGGGAAGAGTCGTCAAGTTTCTGTGGATCCCCTCCCATGTTGGAATATGTGGGAATGAACGAGCAGATGTGCTGGCTGCTGAAGGCGCTGAAGGAGACCATATTGAATAATTCATGCTCAAGACTCTACTACAAATTAGAGGTATTATCAGGCAACATCACCGTGACAAGGTAACTGAGGAAAGGAGGATAGAAGCACAAACCAGTGAATCTGTAAGATGGTACAACATGGTTGCAGCTGGCAATCCCAATCATTACGGCCGAAGAGGAGGAGGACGCGGGAGAGAATCAGTAATAGCGAGAATCCGTCTTGGATACAAATATCCATGGAGATATGGAATGGAAACAACAGTTGATCAACGAAGTTGCAGAATCTGTGGTGAGAGTGATGGACACCGCCTTGACCACTATCTACGTGAATGTGAACACCTGAGAGACATCAGAAGTATGTGTAGAATAATAAACCCCACATTGTTTGAGTTAGGAAAACACTATTTGTCAAATATTGATACTGTTCTTAAAAGATTTCCCCATTTTGCACCTGCAAGATAACGTAAGCTTTTAAGGGTTGATAGATGTTAATCTTCTTGTTTGAGGAGCTGTTGACTTGAGACAGTTAAGCAAGTCCCAACTGTGTCTGGGTACAAGTGACAGGATGAACAACCCAGCGGGTTTTCTTCCTATTGGGGAGTGTTGTACATGCTGCTATGGCGGTGTGTCCACTCACAAGATGAGTGGCGCTGCCCAAGAAACTCGCCCCTCGGGGCAAAATTTAAAAACTGTACTGTAAAAACTGTAAAAATCAGGTACTGTACTCCCACTGTCTGTATGGGAGCCGGTCGGCCGAGCGGACAGCAAGCTGGACTTGTGATCCTGTGGTCCCGGGTTCGATCCCGGGCGCCGGCGAGAAACAATGGGCAGAGTTTCTTTCACCCTATGCCCCTGTTACCTAGCAGTAAAATACTGGGTGTTACCTAACCTGGGTGTTAGTCAGCTGTCACGGGCTGCTTCCTGGTGGTGGAGGGCTGGTCGAGGACCGGGCCGCGGGGACTCTAAAGCCCCGAAATCATCTCAAGATAACCCTCAAGATAACCTCCCTGACCTCATCTCCCTGGTTAATACCTAATGATAGAGTTAGGTCATTGTTGGTGCCGGTAATGGACACACTGGTGGTCCCACCTGCGGCCGGGGCTACACGTGACGTTCTCGACGACTGTACAAAGACGCAAACTTATATCAGGCTCCGGTATCATGATTGTGGCCACATGACGTAGTGGTGAACCCGCTGTACTAAGCCGTCGGGGGTGAAGCTGGCCTCAACCTTCAATACTGCCGCAGGGTTACAGTCATTCACAATATCGAGAGACAGGAAGCCTTGGGCTTATCCACACCCCCCTACTGACCTGTCCCAGGATGCGCTAGCAACGGTTATCTAACTCCCAGGTACCAGTTTAGTACTAGGTAAACATAAGTATCAGGTGCTGCGGTCACGGCCACCCTGCCAGTTACAGGGGGGGTGAGAGCCGGAAAGTCACGCTCCCAGTAAGAGTACTGACGACGCCGCAGGAAGGTCACGCCCCCAGTGGGAGGCGAGGGGGGGGGGGTGACAGCAGGAAGGTCACGCCCCCAGGGAGAGTCCTGGCACAGTGCGGACCGTAGACCGCTAAACTAATGATGGAAGTATTCCACTTAAATATCAACATATATTAAGATTGCCAAGTAATTTTGTTTTCATAAGCCAGTAAGACTGGTGATTCGGCCAGTCTCAGAATATATTACTAGGAAGCTGAGTGGCCAGTGCCAGGCAGCTGAGTGGCCAGTGCCAGGCAGCTGAGTGGCCAGTGCCAGGCAGCTGAGTGGCCAGTGCCAGGCAGCTGAGTGGCCAGTGCCAGGCAGCTGAGTGGCCAGTGCCAGGCAGCCGAGTGGCCAGTGCCAGGCAGCCGAGTGGCCAGTGCCAGGCAGCCGAGTGGCCAGTGCCAGGCAGCCGAGTGGCCAGTGCCAGGCAGCCGAGTGGCCAGTGCCAGGCAGCCGAGTGGCCAGTGCCAGGCAGCCGAGTGGCCAGTGCCAGGCAGCCGAGTGGCCAGTGCCAGGCAGCCGAGTGGCCAGTGCCAGGCAGCTGAGTGGCCAGTGCCAGGCAGCCGAGTGGCCAGTGCCAGGGAACAGTACTTGCGATGAAAGTTATCTCAAGCGAATTGTTTATTTATTATATTTCAATATTTACAGGCAAGCTTGAGTGTGTATATCTATACTATATAAATGATACAGTCTCGCAGAGCCAACAACGACACGGGAAGCGGCTCCTACCGGTGGTATTTATTTGTGTACATATACCAGAAGGTCCACGCATGGTTGTGGTGAGTTGTTACTAGTTCTTCACGAAGGACTGAGTCTATAGTGAGTGGGACCAACACTGAGGGGGAGGGGGGGGTGGAGTGTGAGCATGTGTAGGATGGTTGGATTTATGTTGTCTGGAAGAGGTAGTTTATTGGGCAGCGCCACTCGACCTGTGAGTGACCACATTCGGTGGGTTGTTCATCCTGTCACATGTACCCACCCATTTACAGGCTGCCCTACCTGCCCCTAGTAGTGAGGTCCACCCGAGTACAAACTACCCGCCCTAGTAATTATATATATATGTATATATATATATATATATATATATATATATATATATATATATATATATATATATATATATATATATATATATATATATATATATATGCATATGCGGAAAATCCACAGAGAAATACACCACCAGGGTGTATTTCTCACCAGACTCAGTCTGGTGTATGTCTTGTATGTCAGTCTTGTATGTCAACACCAGACTCAGTCTGGTGTTGACAAAGGCTTTAATCAGGCTGAAACGTTCACTTCCTTTCACATTTCTCTGTGGATTTTCTGCATAAAAATGATCAGTGTTTCGTGATCGTCAATTGCATATAATATAATATTGTTACCATTGGAGGAAGTGTATTAAACACAGTAAGTATCAAGGAAACACGAAGCTGTAGCTTAGTTACTATGAAATGAGAAATTTTAAGAAAGAAAGAGTGTGTGCGCCGCCAGCTGGTTGTCTAATACAGAGCTCAGTTCTTACTGGGAGCTGATCAAACACCGATGAAACCTGACTTATGTCAACAAGACTGGAGGAAGACCACAGACA